AGTAGGAAAAATATTTCGTCAAAAGAAGAAGTAGAAGAAGCTCTGACACTGATAGAGGACACCTATCCAACTAACTTAAATGATCCAGGGAAAATTTCTAAAATAAGAAATGCATTTGATGTTTTATTATCTTCTGTTGACGATTACTATATACTGACAGTTGAACAAAAAGCAGAATTACCAACCATGAAGGAAAAATTTAATGACTTGCCTGAGAGAGCAGCCACAGCTACTAAGGAGAAGAATATGTGTACAAACAAGGAATTTGTTAAGGAGACACTTGGTCGCAAACTGGAGAGGTGTCTAATTGAGTTTAAAAAGGCAAAGGAAGAGACCGAGCAGCAGGAACGGAGCATTGTCACCCTTCAGTTGCAAGCTAAGTCCCTTCTTGCCCAAATTGAGGAGGAACAGAAAAAGAAAGATAATTTCTCGTCCAAGCAGAAAGAAATGTTTAAACTTTCCGAGGACCTGAAAGCTGAACTTGATGTGTTAAAAAAACAGTGGCCAGATGATGAAGCAAAGATGAAGGCTGCTGAAGAGGAGGAGAAGAAAGTTAGTACAGAATGGCACAAAATGAAACAATTCGTTGTATCTCTAAAGACTCCTTTTTACTCATCTGATCTAAAGCCATGCTCTATGTAAGAAGTGCTATACGAATGTTTTTATTGAATCATGTCATATTGGTGTGGTAAAACTTCCTTTAATTAAAAAAAAAAAAAAAATCAATCATCATCAATACTCACACATAGCAAAACGTATCAAGGAAAAAAAAAACATATAAAACAAGCAAGCAAACACGAAGAAGCATAGAACCCTGCCTAAGGACAGGATAAGTAGCAGATGCTATTTAGATGATCACTGCGTGTCAAAACAGTTCATTGACGAAGCATTCAGCAGCTAGAAACTGATATATTTTCTGCAGCAGCTGTCTAGAATAAAGATCCAAGCAAAAGAAGAACGCTGGGTCCTGCAAGTACAACTTTCATAGCATGAGAAGAGGGAGGGCTCCTAGCAAGATCACCGACTAGAGCTGAAGCAAGGAGTATAAAACCAACCCCTTAAGATCAAGGCAATGTGGAAGAAGATGATTAGTCTTTAAAATCCATTTCACAGCTGCTTCCATAAAAATGCTTGAACCTTGGTGCTTTCAAGTTCCTCAGTGGAGCACCAGGGCAGAGAGTACCTGAAGCATGATTGAGTGAGAACACAAAGTAACAATTGCTCGGTCACAGAGAAAGTATCTTTACACGAAGTTGAGGTGGGAAGAGATCCAATGTCCAACATATGTCATAGAAGTTGTGGTGGGAAGAGGTTATATCTCCTTTTTCTCATCCTAAATAGCCAAGAGCAAGGGAAAACGAAGAACACTAAATAAGTTTCCTTTAATTAACAAAATAGCAAGGAAGACGTGTGGGTTTAGCAAGGTCAATTTGCCTTTCAACCTTAGTTTCTGACTTTCTTTAATGAAAGAAGAGGAAGAGAAAAATGATAGAGGCAGGTTCCGGTATGTTACTTAGCTTTTAAATGTTAAGCATTCAAAGAAATTTTCCTTTCCCCTACCTCTAATGCTTATGCATCATAATAGAATGTTTCTAATTAATACCAATAACTAAACTGGTAGAGTGTTCTGATTGGAATACAAACAGACAATGTTATGCAGAAGCAGCAGCCATTACAATTTTTGAGCATCACATTTCACTCAGATTCTGTATTTGTGGGATATTATCTTATTTTTTGTTCATCCCTACCATCTGATATTACAAACAAAACAGTAAACAACCAAAGAAAACAAGAAAAACATAGCTGATCTGATGCAACAAAGGTTTCAATTTGCAAATAATTTGTGACTGCAGCAGCTCCAAATGGAATTATATCTACTTTCACAAGAAAATAACATTAACTATCATTTCTCATTTATTCATTTTAACAAGGTCATTTTAGTAATTATTCATTCTTCAATAAAAAAAAAACCGACCAATAAAGCTATGGATCAATATAAAAGATGTTCTATTATTAGGAGTTAGGATTAACTTACACACAATTTTTACACACATCAATTACAAAAGATTTTGATCATTCATTTCTCTACTATGAATAGTTGTGATTTATTTAGAAAATAAGATAAAAAGTGAATAAATCTCAACCATTTATAGATTGTGTAAGTGATATGTGTAAAAGTTGTGTATAAATTGATCCGAAGTCTATTTATAATACAAAAATAATTTAAATAGCCAACAGAGCGGGTGAGGCTTATGAGACTTACCACCAAGTACAATGTTCAGAACAAGAGAACTCTGACTGATTCTGAAATGTTGGATGAGAAACCTCCTAATTAATTAAGATCAAGGCAACGGGGAAAATGATTACTCTTCAATCCATTCGACATACCAAATGAAAGATATCCCACAAAATGAGATCAAGGTTACTACACTAAGAAACAATAGTAGATTACATGGATGAATTCATTTCAAAATGTCTTCGACACTGGTCAAAAGAAAAATTCAGAATGTCGATTATGTTTATACAGAGAACAAACAGCCAAAAACATTTTACCTACAGTAATAAATAAAGCCAAGCAAGAAGTGGAATATGTAAGCTACCCTTGGGTACCTATCTAAGTTGGTACTGGTCCTACTGGTAACCCTTTCTTTTTTCTATAGACTTTGGATAAAAAATACCAACTGGCACTCGACTTGATCACCACATTATAAGAACAAAATTTGCACCGAAACACTGAAGACACAAGGAAAAGCACTAACAACAACCTAAAATATGATCACTGCAAGCTAAATACGAATTAAAGCCATTTTGTATAACATTTTGGATGTAAATCAGACTGAAGACAGTAATTTAATCTGCTTTCTTGTACTTTCATCAACATTGTATTTGTTGAATCTAAAAAAAAAAAAAGGGTTCAGGTTTTTATCCTTGTTGCATTTCAGACTTTTATGCCTCCCCCTTTCCTTAATCAGCAATCAAAAGATTATTATTAAGAAAACAGATTACAAGGGGCAATCAAAAGTGTAGTAATCATCAAAGTGTCTCAATGAGCATTAGCAATTTAACATGTTATTGCTGAGAAAACAGAGTATGGAGCAGCGAATTGTGCTAATTGCCTTGAATTTTATTACTATGGATGCTAATCATATATACAATCTGGTACCAATAATGAAGCCTAGAAAGACGCTACTGTACAAGGAAAAAATATATACATTCTGTAAATAACTCTGCAATGATAGTGCAGAGATTGATTTCCTCAATTTACTCCGTGATACTCTCCAATAATTGCAGTTGGAAGGACAGAATAATGAAATTTATTTAAATCACTATGCCATACAGAATATTTTACCAATGATTGTGTGTGGGGGTGAGCAGGTGTAGGTGGGAGTGGGGAATGTGAACATATTAATTATTGATATCAGTGTAAAACTGCCACATGGGACATGCAAGCACTCTACCATTAACAGTACCTTTGATGGGGTCAGAGGACACGAACAAGCAAGGGATCCACCCTATTGTCATGCTGCTGCTTTCATCCTCAGATTCTTCAGATAGCCACAATAACAAAGGATCAATTCCAGGTGGCAATGTCACACTTTCCACCTCCTCATCTTTCTCAACTGGTTTTGTTGTGTCCAACCAATTTTTTATTGCAACTAAAACTGGGCTTGAAGACCCCCATGGAACAAACTGTTTGCAGGGCCAAAGACAGAGTGCCAGCTGTTCATTCCCGTTATTTTAGCCATCAGGACATGGAGATTTGAATAGTTTCCTACAAAAGAGTAACTCCTTTGATAACAGAAAGAACTCTTGGAAGCAGGGCTTGTCTTCTCACAACAAAGTCGCCTCTGTTAAATCTTGACAGTAGATTACATTTTTGCAACTTCATTTATGGAAATTCCCCCTATGAAATTGCTTTCTTGAAAAGAAAAAAAAAAAATCAAAGAAAGAACTCTTTTACATTTGTAATCTTAATTCACTATTATGCAGGAAAAAAAAAAAAAAAAAAACAAACAGCCAATTTAACCTAACACATTAGTGTACAAGCTAAATATTTTCTAGTTGATCTCAAGCCAAAGAAAACAAAAAGATGAATCTATTTCTGATCAGGCAACATCAGCAATTACTTCAAAAAACTTAATATATCTATGATCTAGAGTGTGTTAATGCTAAATAGAAATTACTTGGATCAATTTTCTAAACAAAATTGCAAATATAGTATATTTGGTAATTGGAATGCATAAGCAACCTAGCTGACATCAGTTTGTAATATAAAATAACAACACTAGGAATGTCATAGGTTTGACTAACTATATGGTAATCAGCTTGAGGAAAACCAAAAATCTGCAAATAATTACAACAGAATTAATGAACAGAAGCACTTAAGTTAATGTACCTGATTATCATGAGAAGCTCGCAACTTCAATTTTCTGACGTTTCAAACCGACATCTCCACGTATTACAGGCATTGACTAATGAAAATTCCCTTGCTTCTGCTTTCTCAAAGTAAAGATTACCCAATCTCCACTTGTTTGACTCTAGACTGGGAACTCCAAGAAACTATCATCAGCTACAGTAACCTCTGCTTAAATTTGTCATGATTTTGATGAATGCTTAGTGATTCAACTTTGATCCTGTCATCCACATGGTGGCTCTCTGGCAGGAAATGTGGGAAGCTCATTAATAAGTTCTTGACGTCTTTCATCCTTCAAGTTTGAGAGTAACTTTAAGACACTGTACAGGGTCGTTGTATCAGGTGACATATTTTTCTGTTTCATTTTTAAAAGAAACTCCACAACTTTGGACGTCTCATTCTTTTAGCAGAAAAAGGAAATGAATATATTAAAGGTCACCACATCTGGAAAACAACCACTCTCCTCCGGCCATCTCTTTTAATAAATTACTAGCCTTCTCCAATTGCCCATTTTTACACAGCCCATCGATCATGGTATTATAAATAATGGTGTTAGGAAGTTATCCTCGCTGAATCATTAAATCAAACAGCGCACTTGCTTCCTCCATCCTCCCTTCCTTGCAAAATGCATTCACCAATGTACCATAAGTGACTGTATCGAGGTGCTGACCTCTCTCAGTCATAAAATTTAGTAATCTGTTTGCTTCCTCCATCCTCCCTTCCTTGCAAAGTGCATCAATCAATGTGTTATAAGTTACTATATTAGGGTGCTGACAGTCTTCGAATAATGAAGTATAGCAATCCATCTGCTTCTTCCAGTCTTTCGTGTTTACAAGTGCATTAATCAATATGTTATACGTCACTATATCAGGATGCTCATTTCTCTGAATCATCAAGTGTAGTACTTTATTTGCTTTATCTAACCTCCCATCCTTGCAAAGTGCATCTATCAGTGTGCTATAAGTAACAACGTCAGGATGCTTACCTCTCGGAATCATCAAACGTATTACTCTATTTGCCTCATCCATCCTCCTTTCTTTGAAAAATGCATTCAATAATTTACTATAAGTGATGGCATTGGGGTGCTGACCTCTCTTAATCATCAAATCTAACAATCTATTTGCTTCCTCCATCCTCCCCTCTTTGCAAAGGGCATCAATCAATGTGTTATAAGTCACTATATCAGGGTGCTGACCTCTTTGAATCATCAAGTCTAACAATCCATATACTTTTTCTATGCTCCCTTGTTTACAAAGTGCACCAATAAATGTGGTATAAGTTATCGTGTCAGGATACTGACCTTTCTGGATCATCAAGTCTAATAATTCACTTGCTTCTTGCAACCTTTGTCGTTTGCAAAATGCATCCATCAAAACATTGAATGCCACCACGTTAGCTTGCACTCCTTCATCCTCCATCTCTCTGAATAAACCTTTTGCCTTCTCCAAATTACCAATTAAACAGAAACCGTAGAGTAGAGAGGTGTGAACAATTACATCAGGAGAAATTCCTCTTTCACTCGGGAAAAAAGTTGTTTTGCCTTTTCAACCTTCCCATACTTGCAAAGGCCATCAGTAATTAGTAAGGGAAAATAAAGGTTAACGTCACTTTTACTCTTATTTTGTTATAGTATTAATATGTGAAAATATGTAAATAATTCTACAGAGAGAAAGTCTAGAAAATTTAGAGGAAAAAGTTTCCCCCAACCAAACACCCCCTTGAGGTTTTAATGGAGATAAAGCGAGTAGTACATCAGACTATGAAAGAAAATAACTCATTAATTTTTCAAAAATTTAAGGTTTTATTCCCAATCAAAAAATTAAAAAATTTTGGATATTCTTTGCTAAACTCTCAAAAATTCGGAGACTTTTCTTGCCATTAACACTTACCTTTTGTACCCAAAAAATGCTAAAGAATAAAGAGAATTCCCTTTTGGCAAGAGTAATAAAATACTATATCTACATAAAGAGGCAAAGGAACGAATTGATGCAAATAATTGGATTCAGTAGATACAAATTGATGAAGGCATAAAGTGCTATCAGAAAAACATATTCAATCCTCGGTTGCCAAAAGAAAAAAAAAAAAAAAAAAAGGGGGGGTGGGGAGGAAGGAAATGGCCCATGAACATTGTCTGTAATAACAGTTGTCAGTAATAACAGTTCGGTCATCATTTTTAAAACCTCACACTTGAATTAATAGGACTTTATTTAGTATGATTATGATTTTTAGTATTTGTTTTTGTTTTAGTTTTTAAAATTTTTAAATTTATAGAATAAAATTAAAAAGTTTTATAAATTAATTAAATTTTAGATATTAATTCTAAATATTTTCAAGTTGATATATTTAATTTTTAATTCCTAATTTTAATTGTTAAAATTTTTCCAACCAAACCAAAAAAAAATAAAAATAAAAATAAAAATAAAAACCACCACATTTGATGAAGTCTAAATTAACTTCTTATTAAGACCATTAAGTGCAAGTCCGAAACTGATTTCCAAAACATGAATCAAAGTGAAAAGACAAAAATCTACTTATAGCCAAAAATATAAGTTCCTATAAAAATCCCTATAAAAATATATGTTACTAAAAAGGCCTATTTATCAAAAAATAATTCACAAAAATCCCTAAATTTTGGTAAAGTGGCCAAAAGCGGTCCTTCTGTTAACCACCGTTAATGAGAGTACTAACCTTGCATTAACAACGTTAAAAGATTGACTATTAGGTTGGCTTGGCTGCCAAATGAAAATTAAATTTATTTTTTTATAACATAGGACCGACAACTAAAATGTTGAAAAAATTTTCCACAATTTAATTAATTGAATATAAAGTTTATTTTCAATTGAAATTGAAATCATAGAATTCAATTGCATATTGTTCTTTGTTGTGAGGAAGTCTTCTCAGAGGTTATTAGGAAGTCTCAGCGAAGAAGAAAGAGTTGTTTCTCTTCACCGGTTTACTTTGAATGTTCCTTTCTAGTTCTGTTCTGTCTCCGCTAATTTACACTTTTGTTTTTTTAAGTGTAATTAATACTTTCTTAATTCTTAACTTGTATTTTAAGAGAATATATATTAGAAAATTTTTAAATTATATTAATAATTAAAGTTATCAGTTCACTTAATTAATTGATTAAAACTTATGATTAAATAAATTTAATTACTTTCTAAAAAATTTTATCTAATGTGTTATTTATTGAACTTTTTTTATTAATTGTTCAAGAAATTGAAGTGCATTTCATTGCAGGATGGACTGCATTACAACATTCTCTTAATTGTTAAAAAAAAAAAGTTGAATTAATTTTATTAATCATTTAATTAAAATCATCCATATTTCATTTTGTATTAAAAAAACTCAATTTTTATAATTTTCCATATAAATTTTTTTGTATTAAATCTTTCAATATCTAAAAGTCACATTAAATCTTAACTAGTCTAGAATCGAGTCGAGTTGGATCTTACAAAAAAAAAAAACTCTTTTAATATCAATTTTTTCATTAACAAAACTTAAACTTGAATCTTATTTAAGAGAAACTGAATTGTTTTCTCTTGAACTAGCAAGTAGTTTGGTTAATTTTCCATATAAATTAACAAAAGAAGCAATAACTACACTTGTGCAAAAATCCCTTAAGTTCACTTAACTAAGTATTAAAGAGTAACTACCTAAATTATTAGCAAAAAAAATACTTCCTCACCCATATCCCCATTTCCCCACCCTGCCCCTCTCCTTAA